ACACTGCAAGGAATTTCTCTTGAGGATGAGTACTCGCTAAGCGGCCTTCTAGGATCACCACACATTCAGTAATCAGCAGACATTTTTAATAATTTCATTACGATTAAAATTTCAGTCCTTTTTCTCAACAAGCTGCCCAATTATAAATAATAATTCGCCAGTCATCCTTAGGGGCACAATAAGTGTCATCGCTTCGTATGGTTTTAACAACATCTCCATAACATGGTAAAATATTTACTTCATTATGAGCTTTTAAGCAAAAGTTTGATTTACTTTTAGCAAATATTCGACAAATTTTGAAAACATAAAATATAATTTTTCATCCACTCTTAACACTTTTTACAGTCTTTTATCAGTTTAATTTCATTATTTGCAAAAACTATTTATATGTACAAACAGCTATTTCATGGGGAGACACCAACGAGATTTCCAGAAAAGCTAGGAATCTCAAATGGGTCTCCTTGTAAGATATTAAAAAATGCACTTACCAGTCAATGTGAACGATGAACTTAACTTTATCTTTTTAACTTTTTTAACATAAATTTAACAATTTTATTAATGTATAAACACTTTATTTAATGTAAACTAAACTTTTAACTAATTTTATATTAGATAAATAATGATAGATCAGACTTTTATTTAATATTTTTCAGTAAATTTTGTTCAGTTTCTTGAATGAAATCACTGATATTTGCTGTTGTTTGGTTATTTGGTTTATATGGTTGCGACGATTAAGCAAAGTGCTTTTGCGCATGCAAAATTTTCTTTGTTTCACAGAAAGCCGTTACCTGTTTTTTTTCTTTTCAAGGTGTTTAAGAAAAGGAGCATGTAGAATAGAGCACAGAGTTGCTTTCCTATAAATATGAATGGCGAAATTGCTACTTTTTGTATGAATTTCTTTTAATTTCTTAATTGAAACGTCGTGAATAATGATCGTACTATATGAACTTTAATAACAATTTTTATTTTTCATAAATTTATTTGGCAAAAACATGTTTAAAATAAAAAGTTTAATGAAATATGATTTTATAATGAATCTAAACTACCTTTTTTGGTTTTTTTTCTACTTTGATTTACATCTGTTGCGATAGTTCTTGTATATAGTTCATATATGCGGCTTAACAATATAATATAATATAAGCACAACACCAAGTGTTGCCGTCATACTTGTATTTACTTGTATTTGTACGCGCTGGAAACGAGCGTCATTTTAAACAAAAATGACTTGTGCGAAGGTAAGTTTTAATATTTTTTTTATTAATTTTGAATTTATAATAAAAAAAAATTTTTTTTTGTAGACAAAAACGAAGATGAAGCGAGGAACCAGTGGCGCTGTGAGTGCCGCAATGTCGAGGCAGATTTGCGTCGGCATTTAATCCCCCCATCAAGGAATGGGGGCGCCGAGAATCGCCCACGCGGCCTAGGAAAGGAAGAGGTGGGCGCCGCGGAAAGATGCTTCGCATCCAACCTATTATTATAATTCCCAAGCATTTTATTAATTTTTTCTTCTTTTTATTGTATTCAAATGTCAATTTCCTTTTTTTCAAAATTACAAATATTTTCTAAAATTATAAATCAAATTTATTTTTTTTTGCTATAAAGTATTTCTCAGTTTTCCTTTTTTTACACTAAAATAATTACTAGGGTGCTTTACAAACGTTAACAATTTTACTTGAAAATTTGATAGAAATATCTTTTCCTTTTGGAGATTACATTCTAGCAACAAGCAAGGATTTCTTCTAAACATTTCGTCGGATAAGAATAAAAACACACTTTCATTTTCAGTACTTAATTGTAACTACCGATTTGTATCGGTAAACGCAGGTGACACTGACTTATCTTGCCTGTTAAGCTTGAAATAAATTAAAACGTAGTATATTAATTTATACTGTCTCTTTTGATTATTCTTTAAGTGGGTTTTTATGAGTGCAGTAGAGTTTTGGTAGCTTTCAGAACTGGGCAAATAGTTATAATTTTCTACATAGGCTTTGTAATATTTCCTCAATAACTTCGTTTTATGGCCCATAGCGACGCTGACTTGCTTTTTATATTCGTCCTCAATTTGTTGGTGAAATGTTCTTCTATTAGCTCACAGGTTATTTGAGCATAACACATACCGATTGGGCGTACGTATATCAAGCTACGGCCGCTATCTATCTCCTTTGCTGTTATAGCTCTTGTTTAATTCATAATTATGGCGTCACGATTCTAATATTGACCGTTCTGTAATATTTTCTAAAAATAAAAATATATTGGTTTTTTCTCTCTTTAATCATTCAAACTTATGAAAATAATTACGATTTTATGATGGGAAATTTTATGAATATTAAAATTTAGTTTAAGCTTTTCATTTATATAATCCTTCCATCGGCAAGAACAACTATGTGAGGAAAGATAACTGGCGACGAAGGAAGTAGATAAAGTTTAGAGTACCACGAGATAAAAAGCGTATTGACTAAAACTTTCTCTTATACATATGAAGCATGTTCTTAGTTACAAAATAACATGTAAGCGGGCCTAATCGGTTTGGACATGTCAAACTGTCTTTCACGCCAACATGAAGCAATAAAATTCCAGGAATCATTATAACCTTCTTATTCGTTGATATCTAAAAATGACTTGGAGAAAATCAAAGAAGAATAGCTACCTAAATGAATAGAAATATTTCGTAAACCAGAACTACGCGGTTACTAGAAATATAAATGTAAATCCTAACAAAAATCAAAATAAATTTATTGGATATTTTAATACATTTTATTTTTGAGAGGAATATTTCTAATACCTTTGATGTGGAAAAAGGAGAATAAATATTTTCAATATTTACATTCTAACAAGTGGTCGCTCATTTACTTACTCTCTAAAGTAACAAAATTCGAAGTTCGCTCATTTACTTCCCGTCTAAGTTAACAAAATTCGAAGTTCGCTCATTTACTTCCCCTTTAAATTAACAAAATTCGAAGTTCGTACGTCCCCTGAGTAATTGGTCATATTGAAAAAAAAAAAACACGTATTAAAGAAGATCAACAGGCATTCAAGTTCTGACTTTTATACTGAAAAGGTTGACTCTTCTCTTTAACCGAATATGCAAATCGAGTTAATCGATTTGGCAAGTGACGCATCCATTGTAATATTGTATATATCCCAAGTTTCTATTTTCCTAACCTATCTAAATCTAACTAAATCTAAAGCTAAAATTGTAGGTTGGTGTAAATCTTCGTGAAAATCTCAAATATTATTAATATATAAAACAAGAAAGTACATTCTTGTCTTCTCGTAGATTCGTATAATTACTAATATTTGGTGGAAATGAAAGATTTTCTTAAATGGAAACGGAACGCCAACTTGTTGATGTATTTTCCTTTCTCAACGACAGTGTTCGGCTATTGCCGATGAGAAGCCTTGCTCTAAATCGAATGGATCTTTTCAAAACCAACTGGTAAAGTCATTGAGTGTTGAAAGCGTATGTGTTGCTGACGACATAAAACGACAAGAACATTTAACAGAGATGCGCCCAACTGCTTTGTTACTTTTTCTAATTTAACAGAGATAAGCACGGCTGCTTTGGTACTTTTTCTCATTTAACAGACATGCGCACAGCTGCTTTGTTACTTATTCTCATTTAACAGAGATGCTTTTTTATTCATCATTTCTTCTTATTTATTAAATTATCATTTTCTTATTTATTAAAAGCAACTCAGTGCTCTCTCTATTCACCGCACATAATACCTGTTTTATAAACGGTGTAAAGGAAAAAACAGCTAACGACGTTTTACGAGTGTTTTTCTTTCGAATTCAAAGCGTGCCTTTCTCTCTTTACATTTCACAAGCGCTTCATGAAAGATTGAAATCGAGTGAAAAATTGTGCTAACTTTGTTGAAAAAATATGCCTCGTACGATTAGATGGGAAAGAAAAAAATGAAAAGGAAAAAGTTTTCTTTTCGAAGATCTTTTGTAAATTTTTCAGGGTAATTTGCTAATATAGAAAAAATAGAGCGAATTAATCCAGCTTTATTTCAATTAAACATGACCATCTTTCAAGTGATTACAACTGGATTGCATCTAAGACACTTAATAATCCCTTTACTTACCATATACAACCTCGAATGGGAAAAACACACGAAAGTATTATTGCATTTATTCAAGTTTTACTGACCCAAATTCTTAATCGGATATCATTACTTTCACAGGGTATAGGTCCAAAGTTGATGGCTAAAATGGGTTACGTTTTCGGGACAGGCTTAGGTGCAAATGGTGGCGGCATTATCGCCGCGGTCGTTCCTTAGACATTGTATGGAATTGCGTGAGGCTGCAAATGGTGACAGAGATCTATTTAATGTTGAGAAAAAATTGCAAAGCGTCCAAAAAAACAAGCTCTATTAAATGCTAAAGTCTATGAACGCGTATGCCAACGCTGTTAAAGGAAATGCTCAGTCTTAAAGTAGCAAGAAATTGCGAAACTGGTGATGTCACAGTATGATAAAGATCATTAAAAGCTTTAAAAAGATTTTAATATGAGTAATTGCCTGCCTATCCCTAACACCTCTTTTTTTCTAATTTTTCTAGTTACATAAAATGCGATTTGAAAGCTGCAAAACGGATTTCTTATGTCGTATGAAATGAGCAAAATACGTAGATTTTTTAATAAAAGTAAATAAAAACTCTGGATGGATTGATTTTGCTCACTTTGATAGACCTGTCGATTGTTTTCTGGTAATTTTCAGATTGTTTCCTTCGTCAGTTTTTTTTGTTCTATAAAATATCTATACAAAATGTATATACATTAAACATGTAATGTATATCTTTAAAATTTGTTTTTTCCTGACATTCCTGGTTTAATCGTTCATCACCAGTTCGTCCTCTCTGCAAATTAACTATGTCTCATTTTTGGCGTTATAATTCATTTACGAAACTGTGTGGGTTTTCTGTTTCCGACTTCCCTCGCATAGATCATACCCTTAACTTCTTTACATTTTTAGTATCCCTGTTTTTGCTGAAAAATAACAGATGTTTGCACAAACAGCTGCGTTTCGGCAGAGAATATTGAAGAGTAAGAAAAGCAAAAAGTAATACGGGAAGGATTATTTAGTGTGGAAATTTAAAATAAATCGTTAAAATGAATATACCTTCGGGGATTGTAACTCACACGCGGCAAGTATGCAGTTTGTATAAACGCGCCTTACGCAATTTAGAATCTTGGTACGATCGCAGGTTTGTAAGCACGGATCTGTAGGTTATGTAATTTAGATGCATTTTATAAAAAAATTTTCTAGAGAAATTTATCGTTACCGTGCACTACTACTGCGAAAACGCTTCGATGATAATCGCAATGTTAAAGACATGGCTGTGGCAGCTTGTTTATTGGAGGAAGGTGAAAAAGAATTGTTTAACACAATGCACTATCAGCCCCTTAAAAGTAAGTAGGAAAAGATTTGCTGAATAAGAAAATGTTTTTATGCGGAATTATCCATAAAACAGAGGCGAATAGTCCTGGTGGTTGCGCCTTTGAACGAGAGGTAGAATTACCCGATTGGGTGTTTGATTATTGGCATCCTTTGGAAAAAGCTCAGTATCCCGAATTTTTTGCTAAACGCGAAGAACGAAAAAACCAATTTGTAGCGTGGTGGGAAAATCAATACGGCAAACCAGATCCCAAGGATTTGCATCACTAAGCGCATCCTGGAGAACTGCGAAATAATTCATAGTAATCAGTAGTTTTTTAAACAATCGGAAAGGCAATAAAGAAAATTGTTAATTAAACCCAGTATGCACTTTTTGTATTAAATATTTATTAAAATCCTATCGTATGTATATTAAATAATTATTTATTTTTTAATTGTGTTAAAAAACAGGAAATGCTTTAAAAAAATAACGTTACAAAAGAAGGAAAAAAACTAAACTTAATTACCATGTTCACGAAATTATATATAAAAAAGCCTTAACTCAAAATATTTGAATTTAAATTTGGTGATGTTTTATATGCCCTCTAAATGAATTTTTGTTACTTAGCACTGATATTATTTTTATAGTTAAATGATAGTTTCCAGATGCATTAGTTTACTATGCATACACATATATGTATACTAAACCTTTCTTCTCAACCACCCTCACACAACAACATAAATTCGCTTATTCAACCTCCAAACGGGGACGCTTTTTACAACTGTTCACTACGCCATTAGCGGTGGTTGTTCCCGTTGCTGCGCCTTCACTACCGTGATCACGTTTGCGTGGTAAAGTCTTTTTGTCCCATTGTTGCGTGAGATACCGTAAAAGGACAGAGCGTTTATCCATAACTATATGCTGCTCAGATGGATAATCTTCGGTAGGCAAATACACAGAAGGTCGTTTCTGGGAAGTACGTAGTGCCTGTTCCGTATTAAATTGTGAAAAATTTTGAACATCAATCACAGGCAGACCCTTTATAAAATCTGTCACCGACATTTTGCTGTAGCTGTTTTTTGGCTGCAAATGGAATTGGTGCTCACAGCTGACGGCTAGAATTTTGTGCAATTTCACAGTTTTTGAAATAGATATATATATAATTGTTATTGCTGTTTTCCTTTACTCTCTTTTCTGTCTGGAACTAAACTTCGTATTGTTCAGTTTACCATTTAAAGATTTGTTATTCTATTATTCCTGTTCTACTTTCTTTGTTTCCGTCTTTTTAAAGATTATTCCGATACTTTCGATTTGGACTTAATAGTGCTGACGAAATATTTAATACTAATGGAGGATTGCCAAAGTTCAATTTTTTTCAATTGAGATAAAAAGGACGTTTGCACTTGCGTCTTATATACTACGAATTTTGCTGAAATCCAGATATTGGGTGCCCACAGGGATCCATAATTTAATTTAACTTAAAAAAAGTGAGCGTTTCATAGTGGGTGGTAGACGTTTTTTTTTCACATTCAGGTAAATGGTATCGCGTAACTAGTTTTGTTGTCGCTATAAGGACTTCACGGTTTGTTTTTCAATATTTACGTCACTCTTGTTTATTTTTTACCGATTAGTTTATGTAACTCGATTTTATCTACCCCTAGATTTCATTTGCCATTTCAAAAAATTTGCCAGTCTGGTATATAGCTATAAGGATATATTTTGAAACAGTCAAGTGATATTCCGATTTCGGCATAGCACAACAATTTTTTCAACTTTTTGCGATACCTTGGGGGTATTGGCAATTCATAGGTTTTGCATGTACGCGAATAAATCAATCAAAAAGAGAAAAATTCAAACGAAGAATGAGAGCGGTTTATTTTAAATTTGAAAATTGTTTAATTTATATTTAGTCTGTCCAAATTGAAATGTTTTTTGTACTATATAATTTGAAATTTTGGTTTATAGCCTATATGATTATATATGGTATGAGATATACTGTTTATAGGAAGAGTAGTTCAGCCCACAATCGTAGACTCCATCTCCTTTACTCTTTAGCAAATCCCCTTGTCGTAGTGCCATTTTTAGAGTTTGCAACCTGAAAATAATCCGATAATGTTAAATGTGACGAATAAGTCCTATGCACGGAAAATAATTGATCGCCTCGTTCATCAGACCGCAAATAAAAATCCGGTCTTGCTACATCGTCTGGGAAGTGAAAGTAAACAAATAATGTGTAAGTTGAAAAGTAAAAATAAAGAAAATGTTCAAATATTTAAAATTTCACAGTAGATAACATTAAAAAAGTTTAAAGTAACAGGCACTTGATTTAACATATTAAATATTCTCATTTTGCAATAAAATGTAAGAAATGCTTTACATGTCTAGCCGATTGGTTGATTCCCAGTATAATAATTATTAATAACACTTAATGAGAACATTGTTGCATATCGTAATAAAAGTTTAGTTGAAACACAAAGCAATTAAACGTTAAATATATCTAACTCTCTTTTTACGCGGTGTTCCCTAAAAATTCGTGTAAAAAATCTAGTATAATGTATCTGCAATATATGGAAAGTATGGGGATATGTTCCACAAACTTAAAAAATCATGTGAATTAGAAAAATATAAATATTGTCCTAAAAAATAGTGCAAAAAATATTATTACGAAATCCATATTAATTATTCAAAAAATAAAAACAATTCACTTTTATTACAAAAGAAAATTCAGTTCATAATTGGAACATAACAACTGAAAACATTATGGTCGGCTAAGCTGATTATTAAATATCCTATTCATAATGTGTAACACAATTCTTATTTTTGCAATAAAAGATAAAAATTATATCATGTTTTTATATTTAACTTAATATTATGGGACACGTTTAAAAAGTTCTGTGCCAATGGCGACACACGTTTTTTCCGGCATTATAACAATGACCATTGACATTTTAGTCGATAGCCATATGTTCGCTCTCATCATTTCACCTACTAGATCATCGCCTACTCATAGAATAAAAAAAATTGCGGGCTTGTAAATGTGTTTGTAAAACAGAAATAGGCTTCAGAGATTCCTTAAACGCGTTTATTGAACGGTCGCTAATCAAAATCGCCTAAGATAAGATTATATTGTGCAAATTTGTGCAAAAAAAATTAATTTTATTTTAAGCTGTTGCAGGCAAGGCCAGATGTTTGAAGCAAGCTAAAGAAGAGCCTATCAAAGAAATTGAAAAATATTGGCAAGAAAGGGAGCGTCAATTTAAGGAGATTAAGGTTAGTTATAAAAAATTGGCCACTATATTTAAAAGGACATTACTCTTTTCTTAGCATATGGGTTCGCGTGAGGATGTAGCTGCGAAAATACGAGCCGATACACAAGTTAAATTGTAACAAATGGAAAAAGCTATTGCCAATCGCAAAGATCCAATTATAAAAGAAATACTGCAATACATTTATCAAATTGAACCAGAAAAGCATAGAAACTATCAACTATAAATTTCTTCTACATTGTGAGAATACAGGTACGCAGATCGCTCCCTTTCTTTGGCCATTGATTGTTTTTGCAAAGTTCCAGCATCAAGACAGCATCCCATCATATTAATAATCAAATTTATTTACCTTCATAGGGTAGAAAGAGTCTAGTATTAAAACTATTCCAATGTTTTTTAGTTTTTAAGCAATCGGAAAAGAAATCTCTTCAAATAACATACATATGCAAGCGTTGCATGAAGTGCTTTCATTTTGTTGTGTTTATATATTTATATCTTTCATTTATTTTATAATTTGAAACGTATGGTAAGGAAAGATTGTTTTTTTTTTTAATTTTTGACAACTTTACGATTGTGTTGTCTTTTATCAACTGCCAATTCGAGAAGATTTTCAAACTGTTTGATTAATTGTGATTTTTATCCACCTCAATTTAGAAGGATCTGAGTGTAATTAAACGAGCGGGTCTGAAATCCACGGCGATTCACAGCCATCTGAGAGTAATTTAAATGAGCGAGCCTGAAATCCACTTCGCCTACAATGGCGAAGAAACCATAACTGACAGAATATATTGATAAAGTTGGGCTCATAAGAGGTCTTAATATAAAATCCCTTAGGAGAGTTAAAGCACTATTAAAATCGTTCGGTTTGACCCACAAGCCCACTCGCACTCTTTGAAGAAAATATTTTACGATATTGTTTATAAATTTAAGAAAATAGTTAAATTAAATAAATTATTAAATGGTAATTTTTTTACAAATGGTTGAACGATATTTATATATTATCGGTATTTATATGTGCCGCAGTTTGCTCGCAGTTTTTAATTTTTTTTTTATACTACACTTAACATTTGACCTACGTATATGTATGTCTATATATATTTATATCTGACTTTATATGTATATATATTTCTCCATATTTCTTAAACGCGGATTATAATTTACATATAATAACATATAATAAGGCAATAATTCCTACTCGTCGTTGTTTCTTGTGAAAAATATGCTAATAATTTTTGAATACTAGGCTATTTAAAAAGAGAATATAATATTTATGCAAAGAAAATTTTTGAATGACGGTAATATTTGTATAGAAGTAACTGAGAAATTGTAATTGTTATTTTGCATTGAATATTCTTACTTTTTCTTGCATATATTTTGCGTTATTGTTTTTCTTTCTCTTCTCCATAGTTTCATTCGATGGTTTCAATCGAGACCATATGTAAGTTATGTCTTATATTCGTAAACCCATACATTCCCCCGATTCACTCGTCTAAGACACGATCGCGGGGCCTTTAAGTTATGTCTTATCTTTGCTGCCAGCATGAGAGTCCGATTAGTTTATATCAGTTGTGCATTTGTTGTGCTTTTGTCACTTTTTGTTAAGGCACTTGCGATCGGAGGAATTGCGGTGAAAGTAGGTATATATGCGATTCTATAGTCTTCGCGTATTTTCGTTAACTATCAGAGACTGCGGATTTAAGATTAATTCGGGATCGATACCTATTTTACATAATAAATTATAATTTTTGTCTTTGGTAGATGTGTACGGACGCATCTCGTTTACATAAACGATCATGCTCATCTCAAATCAGGGCCTTGTAGAGCAGATATCAACTACAATCTTTCCTATAAGGACAAGATGAATTTGAGATGGACGGGTATGTTTAAGTGTTCGCTTTCCGCTTATTAAATGACTACTAAAATTAACTTTTCGTATAAAGCGTTATTAGTAAGCAAATATATGTGCCATCGCACACGTATAGAAGTTGTCTTGTCCGGAGGCGAAGATGGTTTGGCTGTAGAAACTGCACCTTGTAAAATGAAAGCTGAAGCTGTAACGGAAATGTTCTTAAAAGATTATTTGGATGAAAAATTTTGCGTGTCTTTTCAATGTAAAGATGAATTGCGTTTGGCTTATGGCGAGAATTTCGCGAATGCTGCTAAAACTTTTTGGGAATTAATAAGAAATGCTAATGCTGTAGATCGCCTATATGGAGTCGGTGTGAATCACAAACTTTTTATATCTTTTTAATAAGCAAACATTTTATTTTGTCTCCACACCATTGCAACCTTTGCATAAATTACTAAATCATGAGCAAATACCACCATTAATAGTTTATAGTAATCGTGGCGAAATGTACAATGCTACTAAAGGTGAGTGGACTGGCCATGAGAAGATATACTGGCCATACATAATAATAATTAAACTTACTTAGCAAACATACCGTCTTCATTAACTTTTTGGAAAGTACCGATGACATTTCAAATTATATAACTGAGAAGTACCCGCAAGATTGGTGGAAGCGTAGAAGAGAACTTGACTTGAGTTGCGGCGCTGGTTGGGTATTCACACTTACAAACAATTGCTGGGCATTTATGTTCAGGACAACATGCATTTCCTCAATAGTTTATATTCAGATAAATAAATAAAGTACTTAAAAATATTTCAACATTTCAATGGTTGTTAATGTAGCTTCTAATAAATCGTTTGATGTTTTTCGGTGCTTTTATTCATTTATTCTCATTAAACAGAAACGCTACAGTGCTTTTCCACCATTTATTGAAAGCAAATTTGTTCTTTCTCTCTATTCATAACACAACACTTTTTTTTTATAAACGTTGTAAAGGAAAAACCAGCTGGCTATAATATTTTGTTAGAATTATTCAGACATTACTTTTAATGTTTTACAGTCCGCGTTTTTATCAATACATATTATGTCTTTCGATTGACACGAGTTTCAATAAATGACTTATAGTTTATTGAAATGGAGGTTCCGTTCTTATAACAGTACGATGTCCAAACATGGGCTCTCTTGCGTATCGTAATTTAGAACCACGGGAATCAGTTATTATATTATATTATCCAAAAAACGCTTATCGCAATTTCAATCTCATTTAGAGGGGCTAACTGAGTTGGCAATTTAAATGAAAAGATATAAGAATGGAAGTAAGGATAAAAAAATTAGTGCAACTTAAATATTGGCCATGGGTCCATCCGATTATTAGCTGATTGATCTTTTCTCACTTTTTCTTTCACACATGCTAGGTACATACTGTTTTTTAACATTTTATTTGGTGACGATAATTAATATGTTGAAAGAAAGAGCAAAAATTCTATAATAAATAATACTTTTTATTCTATTAACATTCCATTTATTGCATCTTAACCGCAATAGCGTAGTCAGAAATTATTACAAAGGTTTGATTCTTCTCTATTACAGAAATGTTACATATACAAATACATACATCCGGTATTTATTTCAAATGTATATAATTGACGTATCACGTTTTTGGCAGACCACGAACGTAATTTATAAATTTCTTATTTATTTCGTAGTTATTGTTTTCGCAAATTCTTCGCTTATCCTTCTTAAATATTTACTTAATAAATTGCGAGTGAATTTCCATGCATTATCTAAATAGGAATGTTTTGTTCGCACTATTATCTAGTGCTTCTAGGTCGTGGCAAATAAGTAGAATAAATTCTTTGCAAATTGTATAAATTCTGCACCTCCCAACTTAGAAGTGCCATACAAACGGTCTACAAATGTTATGGGTACCTCTCCAATACTAAAACCATATTGTCGAGCCCGCACTAGCACTTCCATTTGAAAAACATAACCCTTAGAAACGCAACTGGCAATGCACTTTTCCAATACCGATTTTTTGTATAAACGAAAGGAGCCAGTTAAATCGGAAGCATTAGGCCGTAACAGTAATTGCGATAGAAAGTTAGCACCTCGAGATATTAATTTACGTTTAAAATCCCAACCACAAACACCACCTCCATCCTTATAGCGTGTGCCTGAGACGATATCAAGGTCACGCTCCTTTTGAAGCTGAATGAAATCTGGTATAAATTTAGGCTAGAAAAAATAACTAATATTTTTTTTTTTTTTATATTTAATTTACAGAACTTACATGATGACTTAAGTCTGCATCCATTAAAATTACAAAATTCCCGGTGGCGTATTTTAAGCCGTATATATAAGCTGTACCCAAACCTAATTTACCAGAACGTGGTTTTAAGATAATTTTTTTTTCACCATAAATATTTTGCAATTCTTTTGCCACCTCAAGAGTGCCGTCTGGACTGTTGTCATCAATTATAACAACCTCAAACTCATAACCGCTAATAATATAATACGTTAACAAAACATCTGGAAAATATAAAGTTTTAACAACCTTTGATTCATATACTTCATGATGAGCCATATGAGAATGGGTAAGTTATCCTTTTCGTTGTAAGTGGGAAGTAAAATACAGTATTTCTCGCCCATCAAAAATTAGTAACTTGATGATTCGCAGATCGCAGTTGATGGCTAAAATTTTGTGCAATTTCACAGTATTTATAAGTGTTTGCAATAGATATATACAATTTTTATTGCTGCTTTTCTTTACTCTCTTTTCTATCTGGAACTAAACTTCGTGGACCTATGTTCAGTTTACCGTTTAAAGATTTGATATTCTATAATTGCTGTTCTACTTCTTTACTTTCCGTTTTTCTAAAGATTATTCCGATACTTTCGATTTGGATTTAATAGTGCTGACGAAATATTTGATAGTAATGGAGGATTGCCAAAGTTCAATTTTTTCACTTGACATAAAGAGGACGTTTGCACTTGCGTCTTTTATATGGAGATAAAACTCTTAATTTTGCTGATATCCACGTAATGGGGAGCCATAATGCATCAAGATATATTAAGAAATTTAAAGTAAGCCTAAGAGATGGCGTTAAGATTGAAAAGTTCATATTACATAAAAATGATTCCTCAAATCATTCTGATGTCGCTGTATGAACTTCACGTCTTATTTTTTATATGTAAGTTAGTCTTGTTTACTTTTTATTGATAAATTTATGCAAGTCGACCTTAGCTACCGCTGAACGACATCTCTTTTTAACGAAAAATAAACAAAATTGGAAAGTCACATGTATAAACAAAAATTTCAACCAAAAAAAGGGGCGGGCCTAATCCTCTCAAACTGTAGGTATGCCGTTAAGCAGAGTTGTAAGCATTCAAAAAATTGGAAAATAGCAGTCAACTATAAAAAAAGGGTATTTATATATATATATTTTTGAGTTCGACAGAAATTAGGCTTATTTAGTTAATTTTCCAAACTTTCAAATTGTGTTCCTTATTACTGTTGAACTAGGAGATCATTTCATTGCATGGGTATGTCTAGTCTCTTGAGAAATTCCCCGTTCTAATCGACATGACCGGATTAATTTCGACCTAAAAATGCTCTAGTTATACTGGCTGACTCGTGTTGCAAAAACGGAAGTGTTAGAAAAATATTAAATGCTTTAATAGGATAAATTTTTAATAAGAACCTTTTATAACATTTGTAAACTCCGCATGCGCTAGAACTGTTGTCAATTCATTTGACAAATTCAATGGTATTCATGTGTGCGCTAGTAATAGCTATTTTATCAGTGAGTTAAAAATTCTTAGTCCTTAAAGGAGTTTCTGAAGCAATCAAGTGTAAAATGCAATAATAAAAAATAAAATGTATAGAAATTACTGTGAAAGTAATCAGTAAAAGAAAATTTTTAGCTAAATAATTATTTCTATAGAAAATAATTGGTTGAAAAACTGGTGTTTTTCTTTAATGTATAATCTATGTGTTGTGTAAAAAATGGCAAAAAAAATTCCATTCAATGTTGTATTTGCTACGGGTGAGTTTCGATATTATATTTTGTTAATTAACTTATATATTGGATAGACATTAGTTGATTAAGGACAGCATTAATGTCAGCAATACAATGATTTTCATACCGTACATAAAGGAATGCGAAAAAAAGAAGTTCTGACAATTCTCTTAGTGAACGTTGAGAAATCGATAATCAGGGACTATTTAAGATTTATTGACAAACTTTAGCTAATGTGTGAAGAAATGCAGAGAAAAGTTAATTCATTTTAAACAAAATATTTGAAGGACTATTCATTTGCGATTGTATCCATATCTTTTCTGTTACATTGAAAATTGGATTACGGTGAGATGCAAGAGAACTTAATTGAAAGCGCATTTAGTTAATTTTCCAAACTTTCAAATTGTGTTCCTTATTACTGTTGAACCAGGAGATCATTTCATTGCATGGGTATGTCTAGTCTCTTAAGAATTCCCCGTTCTAATCGACATGACCGGATTTATTTCGACCTAAAAATGCTTTAGTTATACTTTTATTCACTAAAGTAACAAAGCTTTTGTGTAGAAACGCGTCATATGTTTCGAGACATAGAATATAAGAAAAGGAATATACGTACAAGGAATAGGTTCGTTTTTCCTTTTTTTATTATTTTACTTTTATAAATAAACCTAGATTACCATAGGCATGTACGAGACAATGGATTGGCTACCGGAACGATAACTTTTTTGTAGTTGCGTACATTTGGTGTTTGAGAGCGAAACAATAAATCAAACTAAATATGCACAGACAACACAGTTTCGTCATTTTACAATAGTTAAACGTAACAATTGATGTAGCAGCATATTGACGTTTTGAAATAATAATGACGGCTGGGAAAATAAGATAAAGGATAGCAGAGAAAAAAAATACGCTGAGTTTGCAATAAAACCGCTTGCCATAAAACCGAAGTTAGTACTCCAGGGAAATTAGTAAGGAAAACACAATCTTCTTTTTCTTGACGATGTTTACGTTCTTAGCCGCACTGCTGCAACTCCATCTGGCAAAACTAATTCTCTCAGTTGTGATTGATTCCGGTTTGCAATGACCGATTTATGTTTCACTCACGTCTACGTAACGATGGAGGACCTTAAATGAATGGTTTTTGTATACATATACATAAAGAACTTTCTTAATTGAATTGGTTACACGTACTTTGTTGCCAGTCGCAGATGCGGATGCAATTTTTTCAGGAACAGGTTTCATGGACATCTCGGCCACCAAACTGGTGTTATCGACGTCAGTCACTCAGAAGCATTGGTATGATATTGTTAAATACTGCGATGTTCTCCAAATTTTTATTTGCCCATTAGCTTGGTCTTACATATATTAACAATTTACGCGAATTGGTAGTCTAAGAAATACAGTACTGACACAGTAAACCTATTAAATGCGAAGTTTTTCAAAAAAACGGTTCAGAAAAGTGCAAGAATTGTGCAAAAAATTCGTAAAAAAAAATTTATTTTTTTTTGCCAGTGTAAGGGATGTTGGAGTTGTGGGATATTGAGTATTAATCTATACATTGAAACACTTTGACTTGGGCTTTTCAGTTGCAAAGTTCATCTGTTGGATACATTAATGCGCGGATAAAGAATGCGTAGTGTCAAAACTTTGACGACCGCTTTTTCATTCAGCGATGTGAACCGTAATGTTCGCGTACCTAGAATCATTGTCCTTGTTTTAACTCAGCTAATGCCCTGTTAAGCTGAAAATTGTTGGAGTAAGAGACGACGAAATTTAACTAAACACAATTGGAAAAGATTGATTTTATGTAAAAAATGGTTTTTAGTTAAGTTTTCATTTTGTTAAGACCTAAGGGGGAGTTGCACATAAATAAAAAACGCTTATAAGCTAACTCCAGGTAGAGAGCCACGCTTTTATTACGTATGCTTTAAATATCACAATACATAACACGGTTACACTTACACTTTAGAAGATAACTTGAACTTGAAGATGTGGAAAAAAGTTAATCATCAACTTCAAAATTTCTTTCCTTCAAAATTCGAGCTTTTTCCCGAAAGTATTTGAAAATAGCGCTGGTGTCGAACGAATCCCTGGCAAGAAAGTGTCTAGTATTTTACTTGCTTATTTCCAACTTCTATAGCGTTAACAAATTTCTTTAGAAAGTTCCAACAAAGGCTGTCCAGGCGATCTTTGAACAAATGTGAGAGCAATTCGAAAGAAGTGAAGATTTCCTCAAGAAATTAACAGTGATATTCTTGATGTCAATTATGAATTCTGCAATAAGTTCACAAATTTTCTTGCCTTCTTTCTTGCTTTCGTTCCTAAACATGTAAAGAATAAAATGTGCGACTGTGATTTTGGCAGAAAAAGCTGTATTTTTTAGCAAACAAACAAGAAGAGAAAATGAAGATTATTTGAATATTTGATGGCATTTTTACAATCTTCAGATTGCATTGTAGTCGCGGAAGTTAATAAAAAATTTGTTATAATCAAAAAAAAAAAAAACATATGTATGACATTTTTCAAAGTACGACTTTTTGAAATGACCAATATAAATACTCTTATAATTCTTATTTTTTTAACTTTGAATTCCTTCCACTGTCTTTAAAACAACATTCTACTGTGCAGTAGGTAAGGGATTTTCAAAAAGTTGATTTGAAGATTATTTATTAAAAAATAATCGTATTTTTTCCTGCTACACGAAAGCAAAGTTTTTTAAATGTTGTAACCTCGGGTTTCGGTTGATTATAGAAACTTGTAACACAAAACCTAAATCCAAGTTCAAATAGTTCAAGTATATATATACATATATATACATATACACAATAATGTACATATACACATATATGTACATATATACATATATACAGATATGTACTTATGGATTTGTATATATATGTGTATTTGTTTATGCATATGGATTTCTATATGTATGTATACATATAATAGTGTATATATAATAATAACAACTTTCAAATATAATTATTCGTTTTTTCTTTAATATTCTTGTGCTTGTATAATCCGACTGAGTGGCCGAAGGCAAGGAATCACGACTGGCAACTCACCGATCGTGGGCTCGGCTCTCAAGTCCTTAGATGCTAGTGCATTAAGAGTTTAGTCTTAGAATTTATTTCTCTGGCGAAATTATAATAATAAATATTTTAATAATTCAAAAATAATTATATATACTATTAATTATTAATTATATATACTATTATTTTTGAATTATTCTTATGGTGAATAATTGAATTGCTGAAAAAATTACGAAAATTAGTTATGAAAAATAAATTATTATAATGAAAATTCAACTATTCAATATAAGAATAATTCAAAAATAATTGTATGTAAAGTAAAATTTTAATAATCGAGGTATCTATAATTCTATCTGTAATAAGTAAATATTCAAATATTAAAAATTGTTTGATTTGTCCGATGACAAAAGTATGCATATGTGCAAAGTTGATCATAAATGAATCATGAGGATAATTTTACATTTACATCGGTTGAGCTTTTAATATTATTGTAGCTCATCGCAATTAAGTTGATTCATGCGGCTTTGTATGCAAAAATAACTTATTTAATGGTTTCTCATATTTATGGGATTTTCTATTTTAGATTTTTTCAAAAAAAAAATTTACTATAAAAGAAGTTCTGCAATGTATTCTTTCGAATTTTCTGCCGTTTAATTATGAAAAAAAGTCTTATCGCAAACAAAATGAAAATTCTTATTTTAACTTTTACCATTGTTTTGACGTGCTGTTTACTTAACGTGGAGGCAGGTAACAAATTAGCTAAAGAGGCTGGAGTAAGTTGAAATCCATAGAAATTTTTTTAAGATAGATTAATAATATTTTATTTTTAGAAAGTGTTATCAAAAGCTGGTAAAGTATCTCCACCAGTAATTATAGGCGTTAGCAATAATTCCACTTATACTGCTAACGTCGATAGACCCAAAACGCCAACAAGACCCAAAACGCCAGCAAGACCTCCTTCCCCGAAAAAGAAAAATTAATGATATAATTTTATAATAAACTGTAGTAAATCAAATTTATTTATTATATAATTTTATAATAAATTTTAGTAAATTAAATTTATTTCAGCCAATAAATGAGTGCTAAGAGTTAAACATACAAAACCAGAAACTTTCTGAAATAAAGTTATATACACGGTATCAAAGCGATATATATAAAAAAAAGTTTCGTTCAAATATTCGGTTGTCTCTTCAAAGACATCTTTATTCATCGGGCCTTTCTCTTAACTGGAAAAGTTATTCATTTTTGTATTAATTCTTTAATACAAGTGTCATAAAAATGTCATGAATAGTTTATGAGTTGGTAAAAGAGCAATTCATTTCGGCTAAGGTGTACCGTCGTTTGTGGCCTTTTTAAGTAAATAGCGTCGCTGGGTTACTTTGTGTACATGCGACCAGAAACGAACATGTGAAACAGTGGAAAAGGGCCCTGCGAGTACATTGCTGCACTTTACCAGAATTTTCAGTTGAACTTACTCCTTTGCAAAGGTTTCTACTAATTTTCGCAACTATCTGCTTGTTCGGCTAATCTTAGTTTGAGAAGTTGGATAAAATTATTCATGCTTGATCAAAAAAGAAACTTAGACAACTGAGAAATCTGCAGTCGTCAAAGAATGCAACTTTTTTACCTACTACTTTGCACCAATATAAAAAGGTTGCATGGTACTGTTTCTAGTTATGTGTTCGAACGGTTGATCAATCAAGACGATTTTATGCAGAGTTTTATAACGGCAATGGAAGTCATATTTGAAGGCTAAAAAGGAGGTTATCTTTTCAAGAACGATTCATACACAACTGAGTAATTTATTAATTCAAACATATTAAAGATTGTGA